CCCCATTAGCCGTAAAGTTTATAATTCCCCTCGCTTCCCCAGGAGGAGGAGGAGGAGGAAGAGAAGGCGTCAGAGGGTAAGATGGATGGAGAGGCCAGGCAGCGGTACCCTGGGAAAACTTCATTGTTTTCCCAGCAACAAAATAAGGCGGTATATCAATCACTCAGCTTCGGTGCCTCCTCCAGGGGGTGGGGGAAAGGGTGGGGATGCTTGTTGGGGATGGAGTTGTGGGGGCTGGAAGGAGTTTTTTGATGTGGGGGAGGTGGTAGGGGTGATGAGTGTTGGGGGGTGGAGAGGCAGTGAGAAAAGAGCCAGGGTTAAGGAGGAAATGAATGAGAGTAGCAAGCAGAAAGGAAATGTGTGAGGAAGAGAAATGAGATGGTGGAGAGTAAGAGAAAAGGTAATGGGAAGGAGAGGGAGAAGGAAAGTTGTGGTAATGAGATGTGGGATAAAACTTTGAGAGGCTGAGTCATGGAAAGTAGAAAGATTAAGGGAGCAAGTGAGATGGAAGAGTAATGAGAACGAACACAAAGAACAAGAGGACTGTGAGAAAAGGAGAGTGAAAGGGTGTTGAAAAGAGGAAAAGGCGAAAGAGTGGTGAGAAAAGGAAAGAGAGAAAACGAAGGGTAAGATGAGGAAACAGTGTTGAGAAGAGGAAACAGAACAAAACGCGGTGAGAAAAGGAAATAAGAGGAAAAAACAGTGGTGCGAAGAGGAGGTAGTGATTACGAGTGATGTTTATTTCTTCATCTTATTCTCGTGCTATAAGTGACAAACGTTCATATTAAAACGTTCCTGTTTTACCTCGAGTATCTCGCTGCCAGACGTATCGCGGCCGCTTCGATATTTTACTTATAATAACTTACATTTAAGCATAAATAAGTTTACGTAACATTAACTTAACCTAACTTTAATAAACTAAACCTAATTTAAATAAAACAAATACTTTTTAAAACACTTGAAGCGGTAAAATATTGATATTGAGCAACACGTCAAAAAATTGACGCATTAAAATTGACGTATTAAAAATTTGACGTATTAAAAACTGAGATTCTCTTCATGTAAATACGCTGAGTGTGAACATGTTATGGGCGAGTTTCGTATATGATTTACGAAAGATCTCACAGACACGAAAATACTTTTATTGGGTGTAACTGCAGTCAGCTGCCATTATCTGAAGGTCATTAATCAGCTGCTGCTGCTGCTGACTGCCAGACTGACACCACACACCGTCTTCCAAGTGACATTACCACAACAAAACAGGTACAGGTGAACAGAGCCACAGATCAACACAGTCAAAACGACCAAGACCAGGTGAGCCGAGCGAAGACCAACATCACCACAACAGCCCAGGACCACTTATGTCGAGTCACAGACCAACATGACCACAACAGCCCAGGACCAGGTGAGCCGAGTCACGGACGTCCTGGACAATTAGTGCATGTGGACCAACCTGGCCGTGACCAACGTAAATATCATCTGCTTATCAATTCTCCGCTGAAAATTTTAAATCAGGACGTGTGCATTTTTTGAGGGCAGGAGCCTGGCATCCCTTTAAACTTACTCGCTATCTCCTCAACTCTCCCAACTCGTGCTACCAGGTGGCAGGCAACACCAAGCTAAACCACAAAGCCCATAAAGATCATTCCTACCTACATCTAACTGGGAGACTGACTCTTACTGGCTCTGACACTCATGATAGATGGATGCCGGAATTTATCTGGTAAGTTTAAATAAAAAAAGCTGTAGAAAATTATCATCAAACTCTTCTTTCCTTCAAGGGTAGATATTACTGCATGGAAGTACTAATATAAAGACTTCACTACCCCCACGCTCTGGGGGCAACAACATGACAACTAACGTCCCCAAGTAAGGTCGGCATTCGCAACATCCTCCATGAAGTAGAGGTCATAAGGTAGATATAAAGTTATGGCCTGCTGGCAGGGTCTCAGGCTCTCTAGTTTCAAGGGAAGAGAGATTATTTCCTCTTGCCATGTAGGTAAGCTATCTTCTGAATAATCTTTAAAATAAAATAGTTTGCCTTAAGATATAATTTCTGTCTCCCTGTATTTAATAGATGATGAGTAAAACGTGAATAAAGAATAAAAATAAAAGGAATGAGAGGAAAATATAATAAAGCAGAAAGAGCAGGACGAGGCAGAGGTTGAGGAACAGCAGTAAAGGATGAAAGGAAGAAGAGGATGAGGCGGAGGAACAAAGGAAGAGGAAGAGAGGTGATAATTAGGTATAATCGCCACTCAGTCGGTATTTGGCACGAAACTCGACAAGTCATTTCGTAGGAATGAGAGTTCCCAAGACGGAGTCCTGTGGGAAGACCTTGTTCTTGCCTGATACTTACCTAGTGGCCTTTAAACCCAAGTGACAAGAGACACCTTCACTGACCTTTTTGAGTTTCAAGGCACCTTCACTAGTTTCACCTTGAACTTATCAAGTCTACCTACCTACCTACCTGGAGGGCATTCCGGGGATCAACACCCCCGCGGCCCGGTCCACGACTAGGCCTCCTGGTGTATCAGGGCCACACGTAGTCCAACGTACGAACCACAGCCCGGCTGATCCGGCACTGACTTTAGGTATCTGTTCAGCTCCCTCTTGAAGACAACCAGGGGTCTATTGGTAAAGCCCCTTATGGCTGGTGGGAGGCTGTTGAACAGTCTTGGGCCCCGGACACTTACTGCGTTTTCTGTTAGTGCGCCAGTGGCGACCCTACTTTTCACTGGGGGTATGTTGCATCGCCTAATTTAAAACACGAGTACAAGACCAAGGTAAGTGAGAGACAATCTATAACACGATTACAAGACCAAGGTAAGTGAGAGACAATCTAAAACACGAGTACAAGACCAAAGTAAGTGAGAGACAATCTAAAACACGAGTACAAGACCAAAGTAAGTGAGAGACAATCTAAAACATGAGTACAAGACCAAAGTAAGTGAGAGACAACCTAAAACACGAGTACAAGACCAAAGTAAGTGAGAGACAATCTAAAACACGAGTACAAGACCAAAGTAAGTGAGAGACAATCTAAAAACACGAGTACAAGACCAAAGTAAGTGAGAGACAATCTAAAACACGAGTACAAGACCAAAGTAAGTGAGAGACAATCTAAAACATGAGTACAAGACCAAAGTAAGTGAGAGACAATCTAAAACACGAGTACAAGACCAAAGTAAGTGAGAGACAATCTAAAACACGAGTACAAGACCAAAGTAAGTGAGAGACAATCTAAAACACGAGTACAAGACCAAAGTAAGCGAGAGACAATCTTAAATGCCGCTTTTTTTTTATGAAAAAAAATTCGTAACTCAATTTTGTGACTAGAAACAATTTCGTATCCCAATTTGCATTTTAATTTTACAAAGGGTGGCAGCAGCAGTGCCGCTTCCCCCGGCAGAAGCGGAGGTGCTAACTGCAGCAATAATACTCTGGTGTAATCCTGCCGGGTTTAGGGAACACCACATAAAATCAAGAGCTTAATCTCTTAACAGGTCACACCTCATGCCAACCACCCGCTTACAACACCACCACCACTCAACTCACTCCCCTCCCAATTATCCACCAACAGTATGTGACCCTTAACTATTTCTTTGCGCTAAGAGACTCGACTATCCATCTGAAGATAAATTACACACATGTGCAACACTTGGGTATCTTTATTGCTGAGACGTTTCGCCACACAGTAAAGATACCCAAGTGTTGCACATGTGTCTAATTTATAAACTTGTCTATTCTCTGAACCATTTTTCAACAACCATCTAAATTACACCACAATGAACTATTCGTTTTCACTAAATGGTCCTGTATGACAGTGAACACTCCAGTTGAACTATTTGCTCTGGACTATCCTCCTATAGTACACGGCCCAGAACTATCCACTTGTGCTACAAGATCCTAATCTATCCATGAATGAACTAAACCTTGAGCGAGTACTACTCAAGTGTCCAGCGAAAACAGAAGCAGTTACCGGCGTCAATAATGGGGAGGGAGAGGGGGAGGGGATGAAGTAAATGGTAAAAAAATGGTAAAGGGGAGAGGAATAGGGAGTTGGAGAGAGGGTAAAGAGTAGGGTAAAGGGGGAGAGAAAATTCCAGGGCATGAAAATGGTGTTTCCATGTCTTGACGCCGTCTGAGTGGGAAATCTTAAAAGGAGAAGCCGAGGGATAGAAGGCAAGCGAGGGGAGACGATGAGGGGAAAGCATAATGCACACTCTGGAAAAAAAGTATGTAAGGGGAGTCTTGTGAGGGGAAAAATATATGCATTATTTCAGGTGAGGGGAAGAAGGATATATATATACTCGGTCAGGTGTCGATTCAATTATTCCGTCAAGAGCGACTGCAGGAAATAAACACATTGACAGAAGAGTTGAAAGCTCCGAGATGGGTAATGGAACATTTAACAGTGTTATTCTAAAAAGCTTAATTATCAGAGGGGAGAAGCTGCATTAAAGGTGAGATAATTAAACCATTAATTGTATGATTTTTCATGTGTGTGAGAATACGGGTTTGTGTGGAAGTATTTGTACTTACAGGAATAGCTTTGATTGTGGCGTTTCGTCTCTAGTGTTTGTAGTTACAGCAGCAGCGATGATTGTGGCGTTTCGTCTCTAGTATTTGTAGTAACAGCAGCAGTGATGATTGTGGCTTCCCATCTTCAGTGTGTGTAGTTACAGCAGCAGTGATGATTGTGGCTTCCCATCTTCAGTGTGTGTAGTTACAGCAGCAGTGATGATTGTGGCTTCCCATCTTCACTGTGTGTAGTTACAGCAGCAGTGATGGCTGTGGCTTCCCATCTTCACTGTGTGTAGTTACAGCAGCAGTGATGGCTGTGGCTTCCCATCTTCACTGTGTGTAGTTACAGCAGCAGTGATGATTGTGGCTTCCCATCTTCAGTGTGTAGTTACAGCAGCAGTGATGATTGTGGCTTCCCATCTTCAGTGTGTGTAGTTACAGCAACAGTGATGATTGTGGCTTCCCATCTTCAGTGTGTAGTTACAGCAACAGTGATGATTGTGGCTTCCCATCTTCAGTGTGTAGTTACAGCAACAGTGATGATTGTGGCTTCCCATCTTCAGTGTGTAGTTACAGCAACAGTGATGATTGTGGCTTCCCATCTTCAGTGTGTAGTTACAGCAGCAGTGATGATTGTGGCTTCCCATCTTCAGTGTGTAGTTACAGCAGCAGTGATGATTGTGGCTTCCCATCTTCAGTGTGTAGTTACAGCAACAGTGATGATTGTGGCTTCCCATCTTCAGTGTGTAGTTACAGCAGCAGTGATGATTGTGGCTTCCCATCTTCAGTGTGTAGTTACAGCAACAGTGATGATTGTGGCTTCCCATCTTCAGTGTGTAGTTACAGCAACAGTGATGATTGTGGCTTCCCATCTTCAGTGTGTAGTTACAGCAACAGTGATGATTGTGGCTTCCCATCTTCAGTGTGTAGTTACAGCAACAGTGATGATTGTGGCTTCCCATCTTCAGTGTGTAGTTACAGCAACAGTGATGATTGTGGCTTCCCATCTTCAGTGTGTAGTTACAGCAGCAGTGATGATTGTGGCTTCCCATCTTCAGTGTGTAGTAACAGCAGCAGTGATGATTGTGGCTTCCCATCTTCACTGTGTGTAGTTACAGCAACAGTGATGATTGTGGCTTCCCATCTTCAGTGTGTGTAGTTACAGCAGCAGTGATGGCTGTGGCTTCCCATCTTCAGTGTGTGTAGTTACAGCAGCAGTGATGATTGTGGCTTCCCATCTTCAGTGTGTGTAGTTACAGCAGCAGTGATGGCTGTGGCTTCCCATCTTCAGTGTTTGTAGTTACAGCAGCAGTGATGATTGTGGCTTCCCATCTTCAGTGTTTGTAGTTACAGCAGCCTGCGCTGTAGACTTCATCAGTTGAATACAGAGATGAATCAGGATACAGGAAACATCAGCGTTGGTGGTAGGCAAAGTTTAAACATAGTTTAATGTAAAAGTCCATCACTAAAGAAGCTTGATGACAAGTCTAAGATCTTAACCTATCATCTTACTGTTCGGCTGATGGTTTCGTTACATCATACTGCCTCTACACTTCGTCTTCCACCAACGCTCATAATTCCTGGATTCTTATTCATCTCTGTATTCGACTAATGAATCCTGCAGCGCAGGTGAAAAGTTACATCAATAAGGATTCCTAGTGTTGCAAATGTGTCTCACTTTTGTATAAATTTCCAGTAGTAGTAACACACATTACTTCTTGTATACCATGTTAACTGTTAACCAGTCTATCTGTGAACAAAAAAATCCAGTGTTTTATCTATACTTTTCTCGTAGTTTGAAACTGCAGGTTTGGTTCTCCCTGCTGACGGTGGTAATAAATCTTATCTTTTTCTCATTCTCATAACAGTGTTTATCACATTTGTTTTGATTCTGTCTACCAGAGAGGTGTTTACTAGTTTGTTCAGTCTTATTCCATATATTTATCAATTCTGGAGTACATTTTATACGCTGTGCTTAGTAGGTAAGTTGTGCTTGCGGTGGGGAGGAGAGGAAGGTCGAGTCACAGCTATTGAACCAGCACCCACAATCTATTGACTTTCTCGGTTAGAACATAAGAAGGAACACTACAGCAGGCCTACTGGTCCATGCTAAGCAAGTCCAAGTTATACCCGCCCATGAAGGAGCACTGCAGCAGGCCTACTGGTCCATGCTAAGCAAGTCCAAGTCACACCCGCCCATGAAGGAGCACTGCAGCAGGCTCCGTGGGGCCTATCGTACCTACTCTTGAAACTGAGTCTAGCGTTTACCTCCACTACTTCATCTAACTCGTTCCACTTTTTTCACTAATTTTAAACCAAAATATTATACTGAGAAAAAAAGCAAGCATTAAACCCGTATGGTTCACACAGCGCTGCACCCTCAACCAGAAGAATTATCAACACTAATGCAGCTTATTTTGGCTTTCATAACAATCTCTGCCCCTTCATCGTGTCCCTCTCACGTTAGTCTCTCCCGGCCTATTTCGTGAATGCCTGAGTATTTAGTACGTCGTGATCCTATCTCACCAATTGTTTTCCTCTAGCGGATCAGCCGGGCTGTGGTTCGTATGTTGGACTACGTGCGGCCAGCAGTAACAGCCTGGTTGATCAGGCCCTGATCCACCGTGAGGCCTGGTCGTGGACCGGGCCGCGGGGGCGTTGATCCCCGGAATACTCTTCAGGTAGGTAGTTCCGGAACTAGCCCAGTTGTGCACCCTTGGGACTTTCTCCATCTTCTGTACTTGTTGCATATGGTGTCCGTGTCACTAACGCAAGTGCACATGCATGATCGCGCCACGAACGCAGGTGCACAAGCATGACTGTGCCACGAACACAGGTGCACAAGCATGAATGTGCTACGGACGCAGGGGTACAAGCATGACCGTACCACGGACACAGGGGCACAAGCATGACCGTGCCACGGACACAGGTGCACAAGCATAACCGTATCACGGACGCAGGGGTACAAGCATGACCGTGCCACGGACGCAGGGGTACAAACATGACCGTACCACGGACGCAGGGGCACGTACACGCACCACTAACCAACAACCATTTGCCGCCAGTTTTCTACTCAACTAAATTTAAATCTAATTTATTTCTCGTGTTTGAGGAAGAGAGAGAGAGAGAGAGAGAGAGAGAGAGAGAGAGAGAGAGAGAGAGGAGAGAGAGAGAGAGAGAGAGGAGAGAGAGAGAGAGAGAGAGAGAGAGGAGGGAGAGAGAGAGAGAGAGGAGGGTGGGGAGGCTAGATGAGATGAAGGAGTGGGGAGGATAGATGGGATGAATTAGTGGGTGGAGAGGATAGATGAAATGAAATGAGTGGAGTGGATGGTGAGATGGAGTGAGTGGGGAGATTAGATGAGATGGAATGGGTGGGGAGGATAGACCAGATGAAGGAGTGGGTGGGGATGTATAGGAAATAAAAGTGGGTGGAGAAAGGAAAAGTGAAGTCAAGGAAGAGGAGGGAGGGTAAGTTACAAGATGATAAAGGAAAGGTGTGATGAAAAAAGAAGGGTGAGGGACTGATTACATCGTCTTCAATCTAACTACTCTTGCCTACTTTCTGTACTCGACTGAGGAAGCCTACTGTGTAGGCGAAACGTCAGGCTTACCTGTGGTTGGTCAATGAACCAAGGTACTGATCGGTATTGATCGTTAAACCCTTATCACCCAGTTTGCTGGTTGGGAGGTAGCCTATATGGGAGTGTGACATACGCCGAATAAATTGTAACATACTCTTTGCGTGCCACAGTGATATAACTGCACACTGGTATAACTCCCTTGGTCATATAACTGCACACTGGTATAACTCCCTTCGTCATATAACTGCACACTGGTATAACTCCCTTGGTCATATAACTGCACATTGGTATAACTCCGTTGGTCATATAACTGCACACTGGTATAACTCCCTTGGTCATATAACTGCACACTGGTATAACTCCCTTGGTCATATAACTGCACACTGGTATAACTCCCTTGGTCATATAACTGCACACTGGTATAATTCCCTTGGTCATATAACTGCACACTGGTATAACTCCCTTGGTCATATAACTGCACATTGGTATAACTCCCTTGGTCATATAACTGCACATTGGTATAACTCCCTTGGTCATATAACTGCACACTGGTATAACTCCCTTGGTCATATAACTGCACACTGGTATAACTCCCTTGGTCATATAACTTCACATTGGTATAACTCCCTTGGTCATATAACTGCACATTGGTATAACTCCCTTGGTCATATAACTGCACACTGGTATAACTCCCTTGGTCATATAACTGCACACTGGTATAATTCCCTTGGTCATATAACTGCACACTGGTATAACTCCCTTGGTCATATAACTGCACATTGGTATAACTCCCTTGGTCATATAACTGCACATTGGTATAACTCCCTTGGTCATATAACTGCACACTGGTATAACTCCCTTGGTCATATAACTGCACATTGGTATAACTCCCTTGGTCATATAACTGCACACTGGTATAACTCCCTTGGTCATATAACTGCACACTGGTATAACTCCCTTGGTCATATAACTGCACACTGGTATAACTCCCTTGGTCATATAACTGCACACTGGTATAACTCCCTTGGTCATATAACTGTAAACTGCTATAACTCCCTTGTTCATATAACTATAAACTGCTATAACTTCCTTGGTCATATAACTGTAGACTACTATAATTTCTATAATTTTAAGCAAACCTAGTCTCTGAGACTTCTAGTTTCTGCTCAAGAAAGTCAATAAGGAGGTGTTCACTTTCCTCACTATTGCCTTCACATCAGTTGTTCTATAATTTTTCGATCGGCAAGAAAAGTTCGGAAATTTTGGGGGGATTTGAAATAACTAGACTGTAATATTGAACTTTTGGGAGACACCATGAACCGGATAAAAATAATAATAATAATAATAATAATAATAATAATAATAATAATAATAATCGTATTATTATTGTTATTATTAGCATTATTATTATTGTTATTATTATTATTACTACTACTACTAATACTCAAATCTCGTAGGGGTTATATTATGCCTCGTGAATGGTAGGTAATCAGGTTTAATCCAAGGGAGAGTAACTCCCCTTTTTGGATCAAGAGCCCTTCTTTGGCATGAAGAGCCTTCACATAAAGGGTTATGTAGGTGGGAGGTAAAGGAGAAGTAGAGAGGTACAGTGACATCCCACCTTGGTGGTGTTCCCGTCAAGCTACAGCTCCCGGGGGAGTGGACAACCTGCCCCAAGCTATTGACCAATCATAGACATGGAGGGGACACTCATGTTTGTGTGTGTGTATGTGTGTGTGAGCTTTGATGTTATGTCTATATAAATATTTGATGTGGTGTAGTTGGTGTGTGTGTGTGTGTGTGTGTGTGTGTGTGTGATGGGTGTGTGTATGTAAGTGGTTGCAGGGGTCGATTCATAGCTCCTGTGTGTGTATGTGTGTGTGTAAGAATATATTTCATTACAATATTCTGTCTTCATAGTCTGACGTTAAAAGATTACTAAACCTTCCAAAGGTTGAATCACTCACTACCTCCTCTTAAACTCCACTCCAATATTCCGTCACTCTTCGTAAAGAATTTTTTTCTTAGTTTACGAGTGTGGTTCCTGGTTCTCCCTGCTGATGCTGCTCAAACAATATTCTTGAATCAAAATTTATTTTTCTTGTAAGCTTTATAATCATATACTATTTGGTCATTACATCCCCTTTCTTAATAAGTCATTAAGGGGGAACTGTAGTATTTTAAGTGTTTTTATAATAGTTTATGTTACTTAGCTATGTGAGTCATAATGCGTCTTTTTATCGTCATTCAGTCTGTATATATTTTGTCTTTCTTATGCACTTTATATTTAACAAACTTGAATGATATATTTAGTTACATCCTATTTTGTTTATTATTTATTTTTTCAAAGTTTTTTTTCTTCCTCCCTTCTTACACTTGTATATTTATTTGTGGCTTGTCTAAATCTCTATTTCTATTCTTTTATTTCAGTCTCTTCTCACGGCTTTTAAAAATCTCTTAAATCATTTATTACTCTTCTATTTGTTTCCTTTATTTTGACATATTTGATTACATTTTGACACGTTGCAGATCTCTTCGTTCAGTTTGTTTATATCTGTCCCTTCTTATATTTTATACA